AAACATATTGGCTGCTGTTGACCGCTCTGCCAAAAACTACTTTTGCGGGTCCAATGGAAGATCTAACTGTTTCCCAAAAAGTGAAAGTCCGAAGATCCAACCAAATAGCTACAAAGAAATGGATAGCACTTCCAAATCATGAGAACCAAACTGACACCAGTTTCATCCATTGCGTCTAGGTCCTCCAGTAGAGAGGATAGAACAAGGGTACCCTTTTTCTGTAGTCTATTTTAGTGGGGGAACCCTCCCCCAAAAAAGGGGTTAAAAAGGGCACCACTGGGGGACCTAGGTGTTAAAATGAGAGTTTAAACGGACACCGACCTTCTCCGGGCGGCCCCGCGCACTTCAGCTCGCTGAGGGAGGCGTGGTTGATCTCGGGTTCGGATTTGGAACTCCGGGCAGATGGGTGCCGTTAAATCTAGGGGTTGATCTATGGTCTTGTTGTGCCGGGCGACTTTTTGGTGTGTGGTTTGGGAACCCACTTTTTTGTTTCCTGAAAGGTAAACCAAACAAAAGGCTATAGCCAGCTTTGTTGGGCCCAATCCCTATTTTTCTAGGGGTTGATTCCCATTCTTTTCAACCATCGTTGTTTTCAAAACCAGCCGTTTCCCCAGGTTGTTTGGTGGAATTTTAGAAAGAAGGATGCCTGGAAAGAATGTTGTTATATGGGTGTGGCTCAAAAGTTAAGAGCTAGGGTTGCGCGGGGTTTGGTCTTTGTTTCCATTTACCTAAGGCGCATTTTTGTGTACCACTTTTTTGAGCCACAGCCATATGGGTCGGTCCCAAAATAGGGGATGAATAAAGCCGCTTTGTTTGGCTTACCTTCAAGGAAACAACAAAAAATGGTCCCTAAATTCTAGGGGAACCCTCCATTTCCATTCTTTCCAGGCATTCTTCTTTCTAGAGCACAACCCAAAACCCTGGGAAAACAGCCGGTTTTTGAAAAGAACGATGATTGAAAAGAATGGGAATCAACCCCTAGAAAATAGGGGTTGGGCCCAACAAAGCCGGCTATAAACAACTAAAGTGGTTTCCCAAAAACCACACCAAAAAGTCGCCGAGATTGGGGTTGCCTTTAAATCTCCCACAAGGAAGCCCAGATTCAGTGGCTTACAGCAGGAGTGTACAGTTCTTCTCTTGAATCCAAGCCAGGTTTCTTAAGTGACAAATGCTCAAAGAAAAATATGTCACCAAGGCAAGCAAAAGCGTTCTTTCGGGCTTTTAGCTCTGACAAACCTGGAGCCGCTGCCTCCTCCGACCAATCTGTATGACGTGTTCGGCAATGTTGACCTTGTTAATCTACCTGGTGCAGTATGAAGATGGTGTTTCCCCCACAAGTGATTCGGATCCCCACTACGCTATGACATGCCGGATCAAAATTATGCTCCACCCACATGTGCCACAGTCAAATCTCAACACCCATGTCGAGTCTTCTTTTTAGAGGACACTCCAAAATGGTGGGTTTCCTTTGCGTTACGGTTAAAACCACCAAAAGCGGGGAACCTCAAACACACACACACACAGACAAACACACACACACAAACAGACAAACACTCACACACACACACACAAACACACAAACACGGAAACACACACGGACACACACCGACACCTCTTTACTTCCATTTGCTCAAAAAAGAGAACATAGGTCCAGTAGTAGTGATAGATTCCCTTTAAAACCAACAAGGGAAATTCAAATTGTGGTTAAATTTCGAAACCCGCCCGCTAAAAAGATCGAAAAAGCTAAGGAACCGGATGGCTGGTTGAGCCACCAAGCAACCAGGGCCTCGCAAATTTCCATCTTTTTTCAGACCCCTCAGTCTTTTCAGTCCCTTTCTTCCACCCATATACTTCCATTTGCTTCAGTGATTCCATTCTAAACCAACTTTCCGCAAATTCACTTCAAAACCAACTTTGCTTAAGTGATTCCCAATGGAACATATTAAAATAGACTTCTCCCTTCAAAACCAATGGAACATATAATTAAAAAAACTTTCAAACCAATGGAACATATTAAACAATAACAACTTCAGCAAGTGCACAAACCTGGACTTTGATGATGTTCCTCAACCAATGGAAAGGGGGAAGGAAAAAGCCGCCGCTGTCCAAGACGCCAAAAAGTCGCCACACACAAAAAACAAAACAAAACAAACCAACGTCATTCCCTTCAACACCCATGGAACAAATTCAACCACAAAAGCACCTTTCAGCAACTGGAAGTGCGCAAACCTCATTCCCAGGACTCGTACGATTCGTCGTCTCCAAGGCCCTAGCGCCGTGATTATCTTTGCACAGCCGGCCCAGCCTTACGAACGTCGGTTCGCCCCAGGTGCCCCTCCCACGTGGCGTGACTCACGTTTGCCCCCGAAGAAACCACCGCGAGTCTCCTTCTGACCCGGGGAAAATTGGTTGGTCACCCTTTTTCTTTCGGGTAACCAACCATTTTTCCCCGGTCAGAAGGAGAGTCTACGCAGAAATCAAAGGTTATCCTTTTGGGAAGGCTCAAAACGGACGAACAAAAGGCCGTTTTGGGACCTCGACGAAAAAGTTGGCCAAAGAGGGGTGGCGGAAACTAAAAGGACAGATCAAAAGGTCGAGTCGCTTGGGGCAAGCGAGGATTTTTAATGTGAGATAACCCTTTGAAACCCAAACACCCCAAAGGTTGCAAAACGAAGGTGTGCCGGGACTTCGGGCCTCAAAACAAGGAAGGCCTTGGGAGCACTTCATCGGGATCCTTACAGGGCGGGTGTCCCTAGGGCCTAAAGCCTAAAGGCGAATTCTAAAACGGACCAGCGCAACAGGTGCAGCTTGTGATACTTTTACTGAGCCTGGCCTTCGATCCATGAAACCATACCCTAGCCCCTTGGCCGATTTTATTCTTTGAGCCCCTCGGACAGTCTCATATGGGTCCAAGGGGCTAGGGATACAAGCGATCTTTGTTAAATTCAACAAGTAAAGTAACTTGTCCAAAGCGTGTAGCTTTGCGTTGCAACATCCCCAAAGTCTGAAAATCACTACCTGGTTGCGCTCATTTCAGCTCATTTCAACACAAATTCTGCAAGAGCCAATCGCGAAGGCGATGCGCCAATGGTACATCAAGGACGAAACACCATACTCGCCATAGGAAGATCCAGGTCAATTGGCTGGGCCCGAGTTCATCTTTCTTCCCCGGTGCCAGCTTGGATTTGGAGGAGGTTGCTTTTCTGTGCCATTTTCAGAATTGGACCCAGTGTGGCGCAAGGTGAAGGAAATGAAGGAAATCGGCTACCTCTCGGCGGGTTCCATGTGGGTGAAAGGGTCGCAGGCCCCCACAAGGCCCCTGTTGAAACCTCTTGTGCCGCCATCGACGGTGTCAGAAAACATCCACTGCTTGCCCATATCCAGCCAGCACTGTTCTTAGACTATTTGGATTGATTTCTCCGTCAGCAAACCCCCAAGTGCTATCCTGAAAGCATCTCTTCAAAAAAATAAAATGAAAAGCGGCCGTCATGGAGCCCCAAAATCCCCCCCGCCGCAAAGAACTACCTCAATCCTCTCGAGTCTCGGCGATGTCGCAAGCCGCGATGTCGTCAGCCTCTCCTTGCGCGTCCAGGGCATCCAGGTCCAAGCTCCGCGGACCCTTTGCCTTACCCAGTTCCTCGGCTCCAAAAAAGGGCTTCTGGGCTTCCGCGCAGCCAGCAGCACAATTGGAGCACCTGCGCGAAACACGTGGGGCTCACTTCCGAACGAGTGGGCTGGCCAAATACAAGGCTCAGGGAGTGAGGGGCTTAGCATGGTTCCCTACACCACAAAATGAGCTCACCAGATGACCCAACATGGGAACTACGCAACTCCAAGAGTTGCCTTTAGGGCTCGCAGTTCGCCTGGGCTTAAGATTGGTGAGCAAAACAAATGGCATTTTGCGTCTTTCTGGCGCTCGGGCCATGGGGGAAGGTCGTGGGCAACAGGAAAACCTGGTTGGGTTTGCGTGCCCGATGGGCTCATCACAATCAACCCAACCAAGGAATTCTGTGTAAGGCTATCCAGTGGGCCAGATTCGGCTGCTAGCAACCGAAATTTGGAAAATAGAGGCTTAGAGCACACTGGCTGGCGGACCCTGATTTGGAACCGTGCAATCTTTGTAACAGCGGCAAAGCTCATAAGTGCGTACGCTCAGAAGTGCGTATACTGGTAAATAATTCCCGGTATCTTCCCTCCCCTTCCCCCCGCCGATATTCCCAAGATTCCTTGCAGCCTTTCGGACTCAAGTTCAACGGATTGGTCCCTTGCGGACTGATGGTTGATGCCCAGCGGTGATTCCAAGATCCCAAGTGGGTGTCTTTTGCGGTGTCCTTTTGAGTTCAACTTTAATCTAGGGGTTGATTCCTCATTCATTTCAGCCATCGTTCTTTTCAAAAACCGGCCGTTTCCTAGGGTTTTTGCTGGTTTTCTAGAAAGAAGGATCCGTGGAAAAAAAAGAGAAAGCTACCCCTAGCTTTAAACCAACCCAACAAGTTTGTACCCTCAAAAAGAGACACACCCACATGCGCCCATCACTCGCCACAGCACGGCGGCAGCGCCTGTTCGACATGCAGAGACAGGTCAACCCAAGCGGTTGAAAACTGCCCGGTGCGAAGCAGGCTTCAAACGGCCCGAAATGATTTGGCCACGCACCAAAAAAATGGCAGCCTCCCCTCGGTTCCAGAAAGAAAGGGCTTGCTTCTGGATGGGAAGGACGGATTCTACGGGCGAAATCATTCCTCACATTCTGCTCCTGTGATCTAGGCTGGAATTAGGACCCCAGCAAAAAGATATCCTTTTTTGCCTGGTTAGTGGAAAACAAAGGGGACCCCAAAAAAGCAAAAACAAATAAAGGGGGAACTAATTCTGCTCCTGTGATGATACCTACTTGGAGTTCAACATGCCCCACATAGACCCCTGTAAATCCATGCTTCCCGACTGCACGAGATTCCGAGCAGATTTGATTTCCCATTTCGAGACACCCACTCACCACGAGTTTCTCAGATGGTAATCGGCCGCTCCTCGCTCCTTGCATTGCAGGTCCCGGCTTCAGACATTGATACCAATATGACCGAATACCTGACAACCTTGTATAGAAATGAAGAAATGAACAACAACATGTATGTGTATATATATATATATATACATAAATAAATAATCAAGATAGTACATATTCACGCAGCCTCGCCTCCAAAAAAACCACCCTTCAGCCTGTGAGATAGAAGGCAACCTATTTGAGACAATGGTTGGCAATTTGCTGGCAGGAGGTTCCAGCCATGGATAATACTTTGCCTGAACCATGCCTTCTGCCATTTGCGCGGTGTCCGTCATATTCAAATTGGCGCATGAATGAACAACTTCCTAAATCACAAAACCAGAGAGATAGACGCAATATTTGTATGATTGGACCCTTTCCCAATACCAGGGACCAAGGTGCTCATGAATTTAAGCCGTATGGAGTGGTGGCTCATAATCAGAGTGGTTCATGAATATGAGTTGCGTGGTGACTCCCATGCCACGCCTGGACCTACTTGGATGTTGAATCAAACTAGCAGGCAATAATGGAGTTATACCTGGGGTAGCTGGGGGTAGAACCCTTTTCAATTCTTGGTATGGTAGCAAAAACATGTTGTTGTTTGCACCTCCTACTAAACATGAACCCAACACTAATTCAACCAAACAACCTAGAAGCCTAACAGCATCATCCAACAACTGTGAAGATAGATCCTACTTATTAAGGTCCTCCAGTACAGAGGTTAGAATAAGGGTACCCTTCTGTCTGTAGTCTATTTTCTCTCAACAAAAAAGGGTTGAGAAAGGGCACCTAGCTGGGGGACATAGCTACAGAACGGGGTCATGACCCCTTTCTTTTGGGTAATGATGCCATTTTTAAAGGGTCATGGAGACTCCAGATAATTATTGAGGTGGTTCGCCAAGCTTCTTTGGCTTCTTCGGCCAGCAGGTGGGGTTGCCGTTGGGCTCCACGTCTTTCGCCTCCACTCCCCGGAAAGGGGCTGCGCCGTGCAGCCAAGCGCTCAAGGCGCCCCGCAGAGTGCGGTCGCCCACCTGCCCAGAGTGGGGTTTTCAACACACACACACACACACACCAGGCGTTTGGTGTGGTATACTTACATTTGGTTAAGACCCTTGGAAAAATATAATATTTGCAGTAGTGATAGATTCCCTTCACAACCAACAGGGGAAAATTGAACATATTCTTAAGCAAATGGAAGTATAGCCAGACCATCTAAGAAATGCCCCATTTTCTAGAAAGCGGTTTGGAAGTGGCGAATCTGTGGATCCACCCTGTGTGATGTAAAAAGAGTACTAAAAGCCCTTTTACGGGGAAACCCGAATCTCGCTTGCCCAAAACACCCAGAAATAAAGCGCTAAGCTTTTGGAACCTTGACTAAAAATAGGTTACCAACTTGCCAACTCAGGAAAACCCAAAGGTCACAAGGTGCATTCGCTTTTGTGGATCAAAGAGTATTAAAACAACTACTAACAAAAAGGACCAACAGGGGGAAGAACAGGGACTATGCGCAAAAAGCGCATCCAAATCGGTTTCTGGATTTTTACGGGACCATCCGAATAGTCGATGTGACACAGACTGCACGTGAGCACTGTACCTTTCTGCGGCCAAAGGTGCCTTTAGGAGGCCGGCCATGCTTTCCCATAGGCAGAGAAGAGGGATTACTTGGTTGACGTTGGAAGGGGAGCAAAAAATTAAACTTTAGCTGCTAAGTGGGGATTTCCCACTAAACCACAATAGGCAAAACCCAAAATGTTTCCCAACAACAACCATGATTAGATATGATCGGATGGCGGTTGCGTGGTGTCCGAATCATCTACCCAATTCTGCCCTTAAAAAGAACTCGGGGTTCAAATCACCAAACCCCCAATCCAACCAGCCAACTAGGGCAAAAACAAACTCTACATTCCTGGGCTGTTTTAAAGGGATTCGCTAATCCTAGTTTCCATCCCTAGTGGGAAACCACTATGAAAAGGACCAAATCCTCATGTATTCCAAGGTAAGGATCTCGCGGACTGCCTTTGAACAGCTCAGATTTCAGGCTGCCCCTGAGACAACCAGGGTGATCGAACAAGGAAGCTCTGAGGATAATTGCACTCTGAGAGTTCCACAGCGCCGGGAGGACTTTTGGCCGATGCTAAGAATGCTCTGGGGCTTTATCTTTCCCCGAATTGTGTTTGTTCTTGGTACTTGTGCAAAACCTGCCCAAATCGGAAAGTAGTGAGGTTTGCCTGATTACATGACCACGATTAAACATTGTTTACCCAAATGCAAACAACAAGAGGCACATAGGATAAAGAACAACCTTACCATTTGGTTTGGATGCTGCTTGCTTTGAAGACTTGCTGTGTAAAAAGCCCACCCATAACTTGCGAATTTATCCAGAAACTGCCTCTGTTGCGGATCGATTTGCCTGCTTTGCAGATTATTTGCATAACTAAGCACAACTACACAACTGCAACAAATGACAAAGCAACATGTAACTCACTTCCTCAGTGGATTGCCCAAAAAAGCTCTAAACATCTTATTTACCACTATTCTGGTCTAAGGGTATCAAGATATCAAGTCCAAAAACTCGGGGTGTGTGAGGCGAAGATATATGGCCCAAGCCACGGAGAGATTGGTAAAGCCCTGGTCCACGTTGAGGAATTGGCAGTGGCTCACGCCTGAGCTTTTTTCACGGGTGGCGTGCTTGGTGCACGTCGAGGGGCTGATTTGGACTCATGCTCCCCCAAAGCACGTGGTCTCGGCGTCTTCGTAAAAGCCAAGATGCTAATTTGCGTTGCGGGGGGGGGGGGGGAGGGAGGGTTGAAAGAATTGCAAAGAGGCCACCCCGTCCCATGTTCCGTATTAAAAACGTGGAAGAAATATGTGAGCACCAATGCATGCCAAGCATGTGCTGCCATGCGCAACGAACAGCGCCTTCAAACGAGTAAAACCAACATGGAATCTGAAAACCGCCTTGAGTTTCATTCAGCCTTCACGAGGGCAAAGGCCAGGCATCCTCTGATACAACACCCCTCATAAGAACCTGTCCATTATTGCATCAGGGGTGCCTACTCTAAAGCCATGCGGTGGAGCCCTTATGGGTTGTTGAAGGGAAAACATCATTTTCAGGCATGGGTTCTGGAATGGAGGCTCACATGGCGCCAATATGAGCTAAGGCAGTGAATACCCCTCATGAAAGTGAATCGTACCTACCTCAGCTCCCCAACCATAGAGCTAGATTCTGGCCCATGTTTAATAAAGCTGAAAGCGTGAAACACAACCAAAGAGCGTTTCGCGCCGGGCGGCAGCTGTAGAGGAAGAAGGACTGGGTGACAGGGGCGGTCGACAAATTTCCCACCAGGTTGTCGCGCATGCGGTGCATAGCAGCGCGCTGCTGCTGAGTGCAGTTCTGCGAGATGTAGCAGTCCTCAACGGGCCCCGCCCTCAAACTCTCCAACTGGTTTCCTCTCAAAGGGCCGTAGTATGCCTTAGTAAGGCCCTTTTAGGGTCTTATTTTGGGTAAAGGGAGAGGCCTTGACTCCCTCTGGCTGCATGAGAAGGGTCGCCACATGGCTGATTCACCTTCAACATATGTCCCACGCACAGAAAAACAAGGAGCGATCCCAGATGCGAGCTTGTTACTCGCCCGACCCAACGCTGACGTACACAAAAAAATGAGTTAAGCCAACTGTCCAACCCTTGGTATGGTTGCTCTTTTGGCAGCCCCCTGCTGTGAGGAGAGCCAAACAACCAAGCAGCAACCAAAAGAAATGCAGCGTCAAAAATGTCCTGAGATGTCCTGAGATCCCAGTTTAAGCCTTTGCTTGATCGGTCCTCCGGTAGCTGCAGTATCTCCTGCAACTGCCACGAGTCGTAGAAGGAGTTCACCGCAAAGAAGGGCGTCTGCACAAAGGGCAGGAAGTACTGAGCCATGAAGCACTTCCAAGGATCTTCTGCGTATTTGGTCAGGCCTCAGCTGGCCGAACTCCAAAATTGGCTGACGCCCAAACTGGTTGACGCCTGGGTTTGTCTCAAAATAGCCAAATTTAGTGGATTCCCTTGAGCGTTCTTTTCAAAACCAACCCCAAAAGAGGGTGCCCTCAAAAAAGACACGGCACACACACACACACACGCACATGCATCCGGAGAGCAGGCTTCGTGCAAAGAAGGCGACTTGATCATGCCCATGGTCTCGAAGACCTGCAGCCATGGCTCTTGGAACTCAAACGCAGCCCAGGTGATTTTTAAAACTATCCTTAGAAAAATTTACGGAAGAAGCTGAAAAAGCTGGTCACCCAGGAGATTCCTCCACAAAGGATTGCGTTTTGTGCTCCAGAGACTCCAAAAAATGTTTGCCTTCCTTTTGCCTTCAAAATCCGTGAAGTGGCGGATTCAGCACCGGGCTCGGGGTTTGTCAAGGGTCCTCCATTTCAAGAAGCAGTGCCCTTGGCCAAGCTGAAAATGATGGAAAGCTTTCTCACTGGCTGAGTGGCTGGCCTAAAAAAAGTTCAAACTGTATATTTACCACTAAAATGGTCTTCCCAAAAAGATTAAAGTTCATGAACTCGGGAAGTGAGCAACTTTGCCTGGCCCCATTCTTACAACATGCATAGCATGAATCGTTTCATTGCTAGCGTGTTTGCACCTTACAACGGGCTGCCAAGTTGCATACGTCAGCCATCTACTACATAGATCAGGACCATGAGTTGCAAAATGAATCCTGTTTGATATAACCTGTACTGTGTCAATAAACCGGGCCGTGGTTGCGGCTTTTGCAAAATTTGACGGTGGGACGTTCACCTGCCACCCGAATCGCCGGTGAGCGGCCCATTTGTACAAAGGCGTGTAGAACTCCTTGCAGGGCACACGCGAATGAGGCGACCAAAGCACCCAAAAACCCATTGACTTTGCCCTAGGAGCCCCTTGGACCTCATTATTTGAGGCCGGAAAGGGGGTCAAAGGCCCTGAAAAAATAGGATTCAAGGGTCCAAGAGCTGGGGTTTGGGTGCAACAAGCACGCAGTTCTTATATCGTTGAAACCGATTTGCTGGGAAACTTACTCTAATTCACAGAGACCGGATGGGGGATCCATAAAGGGACCTTCAGATCGCTCGGTCTTCGTTCCTTTCCATCGGTGTCCTGGCCCTTGTAGTTCGGCTGATCCATAAAGAAGCCGCACTGCGGCACACCCAGAACCTGAACCTGAGACGTGGGCGACGGAGACCTCTGTGTACATTTGCAGTAATGGTGGAAGCTCCGGATTAATCAACCCCAGTTTGCTAATACTGGGGGTGTCCCTTTGATTTTTGGTGGGGAATCATCATTTTTGGAGGAAACACACCCATATTCACAAGCAGGGGTTGGTTTATATGGGGTCGACAGTTTCCAAATCGGAGGTTCCACTCCGATTTTGTCCATTTAAATCAACCCCTTCACTCCCGGACCAAAGTACCAGTTGGCCAGTTCATTTACAGCCCCGAATTGGGCAAGGGAGCCAACATCAAACTCCAATGGTATTGCTTAAATCACCCAAAAGGGAAAATAAAATAAACTGTAAGAATCCCTGTTTAAACATACGTACTGTAGACACACCTATTGTTACACAAATATGTTGGGGTCGCTTTCAAAGGCAGTGGGGCTTGGATTCAAGCTGCATGTCGCCCTTGTGGAACTTAGGCTCTCTCCCTTGGGAGTCGCATGGGGGCTCACTCAGCTCCCCCACGGAAGGCCGGGCATGTCTACAGGAGCCATGTTGGAGCTTCCTGCGAAGAAACGACAAGGATAAGGCAAAGTCTGCACTTCCTGCAATGCTCAACCAACAAGACTTATGAAGCCCAACGCGGGCAACTCCTCCCCAAGCTTGGAGGTAGAGTCATCTAACAACGCTGTTCTTTTGCCCCCCCCCCCTCCCCCCGGGAAAAACAATCATCATCTAGAAAGTCATCAGCCAAAAGAGCCAAACAAAACTGCGACGCGCAGTGCCAAACCGATTTCCATTTGATCAGCCTGTGTCCACCATATCTCCACTAAACCCGAACCGCGCACAAAGAAAACCGCTGCACCCATCGCCACGCACCGACCTGAATTCAGGAATCCCAAAGTTACCCACAATTTGGCCGTATATATATATATATATCGATATATCCACCTGGGACAGAGTTCCTCTCCATGCTCAAGTCCAAAACCTCCCGTACGGGTCCCGTAGGCTTTGGGCCGTATATAAGGAGGGCCAGGAGAAGCTCAGCAAAGCCTGCTTAACACTTTGGACCTCTAAAGCTAGTGGTAGTTTCATCATGTGGTATCCAACTGAGGGGCCCTGCCAAATCACCCATGTTTTCCCCTCATCATGGACCTCGTTCAAGTTGGAAAAATCAAGGCATCAAACCATTTCAGGGCCCTACACCCAGATGGACCACTAACTTGCAAATCAAAGCAACCCACGAGGGCACCAGGCTCCGGATGAAGTCCAAGTGCAGCCACACGGTCAAGCCACCAGCCGAGCATCCGCCCACCTCAGCTCACAACCATACGTTTCTGGCGTCGTCGCGGACCAAATTCAAAAGCCTCAAATATCCAAACAACATTTCATCGTCGAGTAAAGTATGTGTGCTATTTCAATTGTAGGTATATATACGCATACACCCATGTAAAAACACTAATACGCTCATATGTACAAACGCATCCATGTCTACATTCAATATGGGTGACCTAATCAAATATCTGCTGCATAAGTATGCACCATATACCTTCGCATCAAGATATGTGGAAGCGCGCCCATCCTTCCCAGCAAACCATCCTTTCACAACATGGCACACACATGAACTAGACGGTAGACCCAGGATTTGTTTCGCCTGGTGGATTTCTTCCAGCGAAACCAATCCTCTGAAATGGGCCCACGCCCCATTCATCACGGGTGAAGCCGGGAAACCTGGAGGCTTAGCAAACGACCACTTGGGGAGGCAGCCACTTTTGAGCCACCAGACCGCACCAGAAGGCAAATTCGCCCTGGAAAGCTGAAACTGACGTTCGCAAGTGGCAAGCCAATACGGAGCACAGGAAACCAACCCCCTACTCAAAATACCTGCTTTTTTCAGGGTATGTTTGGGAAAGCCTGGTTTTCCATGGTAAATACCTCCTACCTTCTTTTTTAGTAGAGGATCGACATGATACCCTGAAAAAAAAACATATTTGGAGTACAGTAGGGGAACGAAGACAAGTTGCCTTCGACAACTGCATTATTTGAGGCCCACTTTAGGGGCTCAAAGGCCAGGCTCCTAGATTCAGAAAAGAACGGGGGAATGAGCCTTTCGATTTCCTCGTTTTCGGTCGAAAAACAGGCAAGCCTCGGTGCCCTTCCCATACCTCCGGTGTTCTTCCCCATGGGGGGAAACGAAAAACACGCATCGTATGGTTGTTGCCAGTAGGGTTCAACCAATGGCTGGATGGTGTTCAGGCAAATTTGGCTGGCTGGAGATTGACCTTGGGTTTAATCCCTAGAAGCCCCTGGGACCCTATGAGGGCCTTTGACCCCCTTTAGGGCCTCAAATAATGAGGTCTTGGGAACCTCTGCCAGGCCTTCGAATCACAGCTCTTTCGAGTTTTTGGCTTCTCGGGACTCGGCTGAACGGGCTCTGTGATCTAGGGGACTCACCATGGCTTTGGGGGGTTGTGAATCATCTGGGTTACCAAACCACTTAGATAAGTCCCAAACCATCTACGCCCTGGTCGATATCTGTTCATTGTGCCCCTCACTGACAGGCGAGAACCCCCCACTTCACGCCCTTCACAGCAAGAAGGGGCCAACAAAAGTCTACTGTTTGTTTACCACTGAACTGGTCTTCCATAACAGGTGAGTCCAGAAACCCTTAGAAGCCCCTAGAAGCCCCGAAGTATGAGGGCCTTTGACACCTGTAGATCCAAGTAATGAAATCGGTCCTAGGGCCTTCGACCTTTGGAACTCAGGGAGTGGGGCATTGAACCCTTAAAAATGGTTGGTCATGACCCGAATCTTTCGTTTGGGTAATAAACCATTTTTCAGGGTCAGAAGGAGAGTCTAGGTAGATGGGGGAGGGGGTTACCCTCAAAAAGGCCCCCTTCACTCCAAAAAGCTCGCCTCAAATTGGGGCAGGGCAAATGGGGTCATGGAGAGGTAGCTCAAAGCCCAGCGGCCACGAAGCGCTTGGCTTGGCTCACGCCCTTGGCCAAAAGGCTCTCCAGCGTCGCCAACAAAATGTGATGCCCGCGGAAGTACACCGAGCGGTTGCCCACGGCCACCGGTCCTCTGGCTACACAAAAAAAGGTTCCATTTTGCTTCTAAAGTCTACAGCTTGCGGTCTTCGATTGAGTCCCTCCTGGCGAACTCCCCCAAATTTATGCAATTTCTTTTAACATTCAAAAAAAAACTCGGCGCGATGTTTTGCATCAATCCAGGCCCCCCCGTTTCGAACAAAAGCTTTGGCTTTAAATTTCAGCTCCCGGTTGCTTCAACATATGGAAAGTCCGCGAAATGGTTGCCAACCCAAAAAAGGAAAAACGACACAGCTGGCAAACCTCGAGCCATCCCCATGGCAATGGGGAAGCATATCTAGGAACTTCCAGCACCTGGAGGCCTTCGTCTCCAGCATAGGGACCATTTCGACTCAGTACCCAGCCGGGCTGTCCGTTTTCTGATCCCCTGCTCAAAGTTCAACTTTTAGTGGATTAAATGGACATCCCCACTAAACCCTAAAACCAGAAACACCTAGCCTTAGGAGAAATATGAGGGCGGCCTCAAATAATGAGGTCTTGGGCTCCTAGGGAAAGGAACGGAACGGCTGGGAAACACCAAGCAAATGGACGTGAAGGCCTCTCAATGGTGCGGACGAGCAAAACAATCCGAAGACTCCTTCCACGTTAGAATTCCGGCTGCCCCCATCGCAGTACACGGCGAAGACCTTGTTCCAGTTGTAGAAGTCTGGGTTCACCTGCCCAAAAGCAATCCGAAGCCTAGATTAGTCAATATCCTCCATAAGAGCCAAACCATATATCTGGAATGAGATCTTGAACTATCCTACGAATACGTGTATTGAGATTTGACATAGTGATGCAAGTGCGAATTATCTGGCTTGTTCAAGTCGCTCACGAAGCTGTGCAGGAGGGCACTCCGATATAGTATGGCCTGCACCCTAAATCCAGACAAAACTCAGGTTGCCACGTTCGCAAGGTCAAGTTGCAGTCGCTTAGGCTCAACTTCAAACATCACGAAACAATTGCCCAAAAGTTTTCTGCCAGTAAAAAAGGGGGAATTCTCAACTACCATGTTCTTCCAGAACTCCTGAGCTCCGGTTTTTACAAGCAAATTTGCTACCCCCAGCTCCTTGGCTCACCATAAGCCACCCGAGCTGAGCAAAAGGCCACCCTGAGAGCCGAGGCCTACGGCCCTCGAGTTGCGACTCGGCCGGGGTCGGCCTGCGACTGGTTGGAGAGGTAGCCGTGCACCCCGCCATCGCCCCAGCGCAGGATGCTATCCTTCTCCTGCGGGCCGGCGAACCAGCCAGCCACCAATCAACCTGATCGAGCCGCTGACCAACCGACCAACCAAGGACCAACGCACCAACAAACGAACCAACGAACCAACGAACCAACCGACCAACCAACGAACCAACGAACCAAAGGACCAACGGACCAACCGACCAACCAACGAACCAACGAACCAAAGGACCAACGGACCAACCGACCAACCAACGAACCAACGAACCAAAGGACCAACGGACCAACCGACCGACGGACCAACCGACCAACCGACCGACGGACCAACGGACCAACCGACCGACCGACCAACAAACCAACCGATGGACCAACGGACCAACCGACCGAGCCACCAACCAACAATCCGACCGAACGAAGCAACCGACCAAGCAAATGACCAAGCAAGCAATATGGAAGCCAGCCAGCCAGCAAGCAACACAGCCACCAACCAACCACGCACCAAAAGTCGGTGTTAAATTCAAACCAAACACAGCTCTCCACACACAAAAGCAAAAAACACTCTGAACAAACCAACATCAAGCAAACTCATACATAAACATACTCACAAAAGCATAACGCAAGGGTTCCAGTACTCAAGGATGCAAGCAAAACAGGCACACAACAAAACGCGCCAAGCAAACAAATGCGCTGTTTTCCAACAACGACGGCCAGCACTGCTTGGGGATCCACCGCACGCGATTCGCCGACGCGCACAGCCGCACAGCCGCACAGCCGCACAGCCGCACAGCCCGCCAGGCCTTCTCCCAAAAGGAGCTGCTGCCCAAGGAGGAGTTGGAGCGAGTGAGGCAGTCCTCCAGGCTGATGCCTTACAGCTTTCGGATTGAAGACGCTCATGTTTAACAGCAGGGGGCTCCAAGAACCACGTGGCCGTAAAGGTGGGGGTCCCATCCAGGTTGATGCAACATAGCCTGCTGACATTTAGCCAGCCAGACTCAATTTGTGGTCCAATGGAAGCAAATTCAAGTCCCTCCTTTAAAAAAAGAGGTCATGACATTTTGGCTGACCTTAACCCACCTCAAGCCCATCATAATCGGCTGACGCTAACCCACCAACCATGGCTTCGGGATTGGGCAGCGCCGCCTTCCAATCCACCCGGACAATGACCTTCCCTTGGTTTAGTGGATTGGTGGCTTAGAGGCTAGGATCCCATGTATATATAATACATATACATGTATATATATATATATAAATGGTTTCGGAAGGGGGGTTCAACTCCAAATCCAACCAATCCAACTCACAAAACACCTCTTCCCCAAATCCGGACATTTGGAGTTCACGCCTGCACACTCACACGGAACCTGACATTTCGGGGTCCTGGAAGACCCATGTTCCTTACCCATGTTCCTTTCACATAGACCCTCTGGTGAGTTCCGTGTTCATCGACAGGAAGGCACAAAAACCGACGAATTCATTCGCCCGCTGTCCATTTGGTTAAGACCCTGAAAAAAAACAGCGATAGATGCCCTTTGAAACCAACAGGGGAATATAAACATATTCATTTCAGCAAATGAATGCCGCTAAAAAGTGACCAGCTGCACCAGCCACCGCCCTGGAAGTGAATGATCCACTCGTCCGCGCCACTGCCCCAGCCGGGCTCGAAAAAGTATCCTGGGCCGATCGCGGGTCGGCGAAAAAACTGGCTGGTGCGATAGGTAGAGAGGTTCGAGTAAGGGTACCAACTTTTGGCTGTGGTCTATTTTGGTAGGGGAACCCTCCCCCAAAAAAGATTAAAGGGCACTACTGGGGGACCTAGTAGGGAATGAGGGATGGAATGGACCTGGGGATTCCCTCAAAGGAACCACAAGGGATGGTTTAATAGGGGTCCTTCCCTCATTCCCTGCTGAGCACCAGCAAGACACATTGCAGCTCCCCAACACATCCTGTTGACCCCGAGTTGCCACACCCATCTTACTGGGCTTCTAATCTAGGGTTGGAAAACCAGGTAATAAGCTTCCTCCCTTGCATCCTCTCTTAGGGTGAAACGCCTCAAATACAACACGCCACCTCGAGGACAGCCAATCAAATCAGCAACCTCTGCCGCCAAAAGAAAACAATATTGAGATCAAACATGACCAAACAGATCGGACACAAACACCCACCCCCTCAACCTCCGGTCTGAAAAATTCACCAGCCAAAGGTCCCACTGTGACTAAGCTTTTGCCAGCCTGCCACCTCCCTTCCCGGCCCCAGACTCCCCCCCCCTTCCCCCCCCACGCGCGCGCGCCCGCGCACCCGGCGCCTGAGGGCGAGCCGTCCAGGCACACGGCGCCCTGCTGCGCAGCGTCCTTCAGCAGCACCAGGGACCAGCTCTCGAAGTCCGCAGCCGCCAGCGAGAGACACAGAAAAAGCAGCTCCCTCAT